AATGAGCAGTAGGCAAATGTTTATTCGAATATAAGATTAGAAAGTAAGAATAGTAGAAAAGCTCTCTTTGCAGAGAGGGGACATTCAAAAGTGAATGCCTACCAATAATCGGCAACGGTCCTGGTTTTATAAAGTTGTGGTTGCCCTCCCCCCTCCCCCCGCCTTTCCTTTCCCCTTGTTTCTTCTCAGGTTTTACCTTTATTGGCATGATAACTCTAGGTGCTGCATTGTCCATTTTTGATTGGCTTGTTTCCATTGTATGAGGGGTGGTCTAGGGCCACACCAGTTCCTTGTGGGTCATAGGTTTTATGGTCTACGTATTTATAGTCAGGTCTTTTTGTCAAATTCCTGAAGCAAACCTGAGGGGGAGTCACTTGAGGGGGTTGGCTGTGGTCAGATACTCCCAGCATTGTTTCAAAATATTTCTTTCTCCACCCAGGGGCCTCAGGTCCTAATCCTTTCCCTTTCTTCCCATTTTATCCTATTTGTTTCCTATCATAATGTCTCAGTCACCTCGGGCTGTTATAACAAAATACCAGAGACTGGGTGGCTTAAACAACAAATATTTATTTCTCACAGTTCTGGAGGCTAGGAAGTCCAAGATCAAAAATCTGGCAGATTCGGTATCTGGTGAAAGCGCTCTTCCTGATTTGCCTTTCCCTTTTTATAAGGGAGTTAATCTCATCATGAGGGCCCCACCCTCATTAACTATTCTAACCCTAGTCACCTCCCAAAGGCCCTACCTCCAAATACCATCATATTGGGTAGGGCTTTGGTATATGAATTTAAGGGGGGGGGGGCACATTCAGTCAATAGCTGCTGAATTGACTGCTTTAACACTGACTTGGAACTTCAGACACAGAAGCCTCAGAAGTTAGTCGGGATTTTCTGCAGATCTCACTCATGCTCAGCAAATATGCTCCCCTGTGGATTGTGTGGCCTTAGCCAGGGATGCTGGGGAAACTGTGTCTGTCTAGGTACCTAGCACTTCGTAGGTTTTGTACATAATTGGTGCAGAGTAGATGCATATCACTATGAATACAGTGATACACAGTAGTGCGTAGTAGGTGCATATCAATAGGGACTGAGAGTGTGACTGGAAAAAGGACCCTCAGAATCCACATCCAGGGTTGTATTTTTGCCCTGTCAGTGCCAATGCAATGGGTTGCTCTTTCTTTAGGATGTTTATATACACTCCAAGTCCCATGATATTACTAATCTTGCTTCTCTGCATCTTGGCAGAGTGGTCTCAGCTCCATTTCTGAGCTCAGATGAGTATTTACCCCTTTCCTGGTGCTCTCCCTCCTGAGAACTGGGTAGCACTGGCCAGCCCTACATAGAAAACTAGGAGACCTTCTGGCCTGTCCTTGTCCACATGTGGCCAGGTGCTCTGCTGAGGACTCCAGGCCCCTGCTCTTCATGGTCAGGCCTGCTTGGGGTGGCTGGAGTGGCTCCCCCACAGGCAGCAGGCCTGCGGCGGGCAGACACCAGCTGGCTCCTCTCCCCACACTGCCCCATCTGCTGGATGAAGGTGACCTTGGGCGTGGGGGGGGGGGGGTTGGCCAGAGATGCTGGGCAGTTTACAGCCTGAGGGCTAAGTGTGTGTGCGGGTAGAAGAGAGAAGGAGGTTGTGGGGGAAGGGCACCTTGCTTCCCCTGGAGAAAGAAGCAAGAAAACCTCCTTTCCCCACACCCCTTCTAGACCAGACGGTGCTAGAATTCCACCCTTTCAGCAAGTTACTTACCTGTCTGAGCCCGAGTTTCCTCATCTGTCTGAAAGACAGGGAAGATCATAATGGAAATTCATGTTATTAGTACTTCAAGCAAAGAAGCTAAATTAGTTTGCCAAATTCCCACCTGCCTTAAGATGAGACTTAAGTCTATGGCAGGTGATGAAGCAAACAAGGGCTAAGGACAACCAGAATCCTGCCAAGATCAGGTGCCAAGGCAATCCTGCCGTGACCTTGAATAACTCCAGAAGAGGAAGGGCTGGACAGAAGTTGCAGGCTGTCTGCAGATTTCCATCCTCCCAGTTTTCCAGGGAGAGGACAAGAATAAAATGCCTTTAAGAGCCAGGCCAGGTAATGCAAATGAGTGGAGTATGCCGGGGATTGCACAGAAAACACTAGCCACGTGCTGCACTTCTACAAAGATGTGTTCTCGACTTGCTGATAAAGCAAATGGTCCTCTGGGTATGTTTTATTTTCTCACTTTTTGTGGATTCATGAGCTCAGAGAAATTATTTCTCTACCACAAGCAAAATACTAAAATACAGGCCCAAGTAACAGCTGTGGAAAGAGCTATAAAGACCTGGGGAATGCGTGTCCCCCCCAACCCCCCAGAAGAGCAGAAGCTGGTAACCCCGGCTAATCCATGGGGGGTGAGCATGTGGGCTCAGGGTGGCCAGATCTTCTCCTTTTTTTATTTAACAGAAGCTGGAAATCCAGACTTTTTAAAATCTGGAATCTCCTGTTGTTTGCTGGGATATCTTTTTCTTTTCTTTTAATGGAACAAATGTTGTTTACAACTTTGTACACACCAAATAAAACCCACCTGCCTGTGGTCCATTTGCATCCCACCTTCTACATAGTCTGCTGAATGTTGAAGTGCTCTTGACAAATTACTCCAAATTCGGCATTCCTGGGAGGGTTTGCAGCTGGGAGGGCCATGTCTTTGACCTTGAGTTGGGCCTTGTATCCTCAGGACATTCCAGGGGGCTGGTGCAGGCTGGACAGAGGGGCAATCTCCTTTTGTCAGCAGAATTTCTTTCCTGGTGTCTTTATGTCACCCTAAGGTAGTCACTGGGGCACCAGCTCCTTTTGTAGGCCACCTCCTGACCTCTCCTTGGGTAGATATTAAAGAAGAAACACTTCCGATTGTCCTGATCAACTTCACAGCAGAGACGACAGGCCAGCAGCGTTGGGGGGAGCCCTGGTGGGCTCTAGGCCCAGCCCCTCATTTTAAGCATATAGAAGCTGAGATGCAGGAAGCCCAGCCACCTTGCTGGAGCCCCCAGCTCCTCAGTGACAGCTAAGAAGTGAGCTCCTAGGCTTCCTGCCTCATTGTCCAACAACCATGCCATTGCCACCCCCACCATGGACACTTAGCCCCTTTAGGCCTTCTGTAGAGGTTACCTGGACATTGGAACAGACTAAATGGCCAAACTTCAGAACTGAGGCTGGGAAAACTTGGGAAGGCCAGAAGAAGAACAGGGGTCTCTGCATGTGGGCAGAATTCACCCAAGATCCATCCAGAAGAAAGGTGTGTTATTTTGTTATCAGGATCTGGGGTCACCCATGCCCTGGAACTTACTGCACCATGATGCCAGGCAAAGCCAGCAGGAGGGCAGGCCTGGAAGAGGCATTTCCCTGGGTCTGCACAGGTTTTCCCAGAGCTGCTCCCATGGGCGGGTCAGGGAGGCAAGCTAAGGCTCTCCCTCCACCCTCCTCTCAGAGGGCTTTACACCTGCACACTTTTCAGTCTGGTGGAGGGTTTGCGTCTTCTGATGGAAGGTTTCTTGGAGGGAAGTGTGGCCAAAAAAACTGTTAATCCTATGATTCCTAACCTGTGATCTGCTATTTGATCTTAAATCACTCACTTTTAAAAATGAAGAGCTTTAGTGGCACTGGGGGTGGCTTTGTCGGTTAAGCATCTGACTTCGGCTCAGGTCATCATCTAATATGAGTTCGAGCCCCGCATCAGGCTTTGCCCTGACAGCATGGAGCCTGTTTGGTATTCTCTCTCTCTCCCTCTCTCTCTCTCTCTGCCACACCCCCCTCCCCAACCTCTCTCTCTCTCAAAATAAATAAACTTTAAAAAAATATCAAGAGCTTCAACTATACCCACCAACAGTCTTTTTGAAAAAGGTATAAATTATTAAGAAATTGGAAAATGTATTCATTTAGATTTTATTTCTTTTACTGCTTATGATTGACAGGGGTGAGTAACATTAATTCAACCCTGGTTATAGTTCCCTGAATACCTTTGTATACCTTATTTCATGGAGTATTCAAAGCATGTCTCGAAGGTGGGATTCTTATTTTTTACTTTTATTCCTTTCCTATGTACCCTTTGGGGGAAATCAAGGCTCAGAGACAGTAAAAAGCTTATTAAATTATCCACCCCAGCTTAGAAGGTCTGTCTGTCTCATTCTGGCTGCATTCTCAGGCTCTGACATGGTGCTTACGTGAAGCAGGTGCTCAGTAAGTAGTTGCTGATATGTAATTCCCCGGGTGGAAGTGCAAGAGGGTGATGAGACTTTCATGAACGATGAACAAAGACCTCATGGGATGAAGAAGGAAAGAAAGAAGTTTGCATAATTAAACAAAATTTTAATGCTTATTTATTTTTGAAGGAGAGAGAGTGTGTGAGGAGGGGAGGGGCAGAGAGAGAGGGAGACACAGAATCTGAAGCAGGGTCCAGGCTCTCAGCTGTCAGCACAGAGCCCAATGTGGGGCTCGAACTCACAAACCGGGAGATCATGACCTAAGCTGAAGTTGGACACCCAACGGACTGAGCGACCCAGATGCCCCAAGAAGTTTGCATAATTAATCTTGAAATAAGAAATGACTTTATATGTCACAACTTCTTTCTTCCAAGGACTTTGAGGTGTTTGACAGGTACCTCACTTGTCTGTCCACCCATCCTGGCAACATTTCTGGCCAGTGAGGAGACACAAGCCCAACATACAGTGATCTCCTGCCTCTGTTTGCTCCTGCACTGCTGGAATCTTCAGGCATCTTGAAGGAGAGGCCCTTCACTGCCCCATCACCTAGGAGTGGCCATCACTGATTTCAGCAAGGAAGATTAACTCAAATGTCACCTTGGCCTCTTAGTAGGTGTAGAGAAAACAACTTAACATTGATCGTGGTAGGGTATTTAGAGAAAACATGTGGGCACAATTCCCAAAATCTGCCTTCCACTCAAAATATGACCTTTAATGGAAACTGTGATTCCTAGAACATTGCAGGAGATAGAGTTGAAAAGAAGCAAAACCTCAAGTAAATGCAAAACATTTCTGTAAAGCTTTTATTATCAGAAAGCAACATACTTCTAATTTTAGCTATAGCTGTAGATATAAGCTTTGCTTATATTAATTCGTCCGATATGGTATGTTTTCATCAAAATCACAGAGAAAAAATAGGGGAAGTGACTTTACAGTCACAATATTCCTGGGATATTTCTATGTCCAAACTGGAGATACAGAAACCTGTAAATTGCACATCGTGGGAAGTTCACATGAGACTCCTAAATTCACCATTGCCATGACCTGTCTTAAAAGTTGGTATGAGACACAGAAGTCTCAATTAAATGCAGATGACAAGGTGTCCTGAGTTGATTTTTCTCACTTAACATTAGACTTTCTTAATTTAAGCAGCTCAGTAAGAAAGAAGACATAATAGAGTGTCTTGCTTTTAATTAAACATATATATATATATATATATATATATATATATATTTTTTAATTTACTAGTTTCACTGAGATATTGCTTAATTTCCATTAATGCTGTGGATTTTTTTCCCTTTCCATAGAACACCATTCTTATTAATCTTGCTTGGATACAATTAGTTGTGCTGTGTTTATCTTCCTGGTTCCACAATTAATTTCAGCATAGAACCAATTTATTTATATTTTTCACTGCTCAGAACATCCTTCCCACCGAAAATTCATTGATAGTGGCACAATTCACGTTGTACTTTTATTTTGGGTGGAACAAAGAGAGAGATTGGTTTGGAGGAAGAAACGAGAGGGAGGTGTCTATAAAATGTTCTTCATCCGGTAGCATGGAATAGCAATGTTCCTAATGGAGGATACTAGCGCCCACTTCTTGGTGTAATTATGGTGCTGTGATCGGCCCTCTGCATCACTTTCTGTTCCCTCGGAAACAGATGACAGACTAAGAAAAGACGCCAGTATAGTTATTGCATTTCTAAACACCCAACAAACATAAACAGCGAAGCATCTTTTAACAGACTGTGACATATTGATTCACCACACATCTCTTGCCAAGTTAGGAGTCAGGAACTAAAACATTGACATAGGACAGCTCAGATTCGCTCTCTATGGAGAGTGTATAATACTGTAAGCATTCAAGGCTTAATAGAAAACCAGGTCTTCAGATGTATCTGGGGCCTTTAACCAAGCACTGTCTCAAGCAAGTTTCCACACTCTGCTCAAAGGACAGGCCGTGCAGCCTCACTTGGCGTCTGATTCCCCCTTGAACTGGGCATCATCCATGGCCATATGAGTAGGCGGAGAAGAAGCAAATAGAAGCTACTTCCAATTCACAGCATGTCTCCAGCTGCCTTTTTTGCTTTCTACAGCCACCCAGAATGGAGCGAAGACTCTCATCATTTTAGAGAATGGGCTGATTACAGTATAACCTAAGCCTTATCAAAATCCCCCGACTGCAATCCTTGCATTTGTCAAATAATATTTACCAGGACTCAATATTTTCAACATTCATATTCTCTCCTATATACTTGGATTTAGTTTCTGCTGGTTTATTAGCCTAAAGGCAGCTCTAAGTTCTTAATCTAAGTCTTCTATCTAGAGTGATTGGAGGGCCTGCTCTTAACACATTTCGAGAAGTCTTGAGAATCAGCCACTGACACGAATGCATAAATGGATGAGCTGAGTAAAAGTGGCAGGAGTAGGGCTCCAAAGACCCTCCCTGTGCTATAGGGACGGGATCCTCCTCTTCCATCTTTGCATTCCAGGATGGGGAATTCCTCCTTGGCCAGTGTTTAATAAGAAGAGGAAAAAGAAATAGTTTACAGTTCCTGGGGACTCCCGGTGGGTCGGGTGCTGTGCTGAGTACTTCCCATACGTGATCTATTTCAATCTTCACGTTTCATTTTTATCTTGCAGATGAAGACACATAGGCACTGACAAGTGAGTTCCCTTGCACGGGGCCACACAGCTGGTGAAGTGCAGGGTGCTCTGACTCTGCACATGGCCTCTCCTCTAAGTGCCTGTTCTACCAGGTGCTTGGATGGCACGGTGTGTAGAAGCAGAGGAAACCTCGCTACTCCACAGAAGAAACTACGAACAGGAAACCAGAAACCTCTGTGGCTCTCTTTCAAGAGTAAGAATAAATGTGCTGAACTATCCTTCAAGGCACTAATGACTGGGCTGCTGAACACTGTCATGGCTATTATTGTTTTCCAGGCTGACACTTGGCCCGTTCTCTCTCTTCTTTACTTTCAGGCTAGTAATTAGATTTAAATCCCTGATAGGATTCTAACTTTGGTCACCCTGGGGGGTTCCAGATTTCTTTACTATTGCTTGCAAAGATTTTATTTAAAAAAAAAAAAAAAGCCCTTTGAAACTAAGTACGTTACACTCAGCAACAGCTTTTTAAAAAATCTATTATCTTGTTGGGTCTTTTGAAGAACACATGCTGCTCTCTCTCTCTCTCTCCTCTCACCTTGAGATGTCAACCCCTATTTTTATCTCCCAATACAAAGAATAAAAATACTCAGGAGGACCAGAGAAGGCAGACTCCTAAGACACTGTTTTCATCCATGCCTGTGTTACTGCCAGGTTCATTTGGACAGCATCCAGGCACTTGGAATCTGTTGACTCAGGAATTTGTTTTTTTTCTTTTTTTAAAAATAAATTTGTTTTCTACATATAGTAGGACTTATTGTGGTGGTTTTGCCTCTCAGGGGAAAAATAAGGAACTGTTCTTTACACGAATGAATGAATCTCTTGGCCTCTGTGCCCAGTTACTTTGAGCAAGGGAGCTAGAGGCATATTTTTGCATGGAGCTGTTTACCCACCACCGGATACCCGTGCCGATTTGTGGCAGCACCCAAGTGCTCGTGATCATGAAAGCAGCTTTTCTCTACGTAGGTACCTGACCCAAACAGGTATGTTAAGTACTTTGAGGAACTAGATGGAGTCCTATAAATGAGTAGCTGGCTCGGGAGGGGATCACCAGTCTCATTAACACATGTTAAAGCAACTGAGTGGCCTCCCAGGGGATCCAGTCACTCAGGAAAAATCTGTTCCGAGACCTACTCATCGCTATATGATGGCTCCTTCAGAGGATCCCGGATGCTTTTGAGGAGGGAGCTTGTTGGTTTCTCTACTGAGTCTACTCAGTTCATACAGCAAAGAAGGATCCCAGCCAGAAGGCACAAGGATGAGGTTTGGTAATTCTTCCAGTCAAGCCCTTCAGCCGGATGTTTCCCAGGAGACTGTATTTAATACTTTGCCAGAAACATAAAAATAATACAAGAGCATTTAATTTTACTAACTGGGATGCTTTTAAAAAAGCTTAACTTAGGGGCAGCTGGGTGGCTCAGTCAGTTAAGTGTCTGAGTTCAGCTGAGGTCATGATCTCACGGTTTGTGAGTTCGAGCCCCGTTTCAGGCTCTGCGCTGACAGCTTAGAGCCTGGAGCTTGCTTCAGATTCTGTCTCCCTCTCTCTCTGCCCCTCTCCTCCACTTGTGCTCTTTCTCTCTCTCAAAAATAAATAAACTTAAAAAAAGACTTTAAAAAAATTGTTGTATAATTTTGTTCACAATTTAGGCAATGAATGAATGCCTCATATCAGGCTAAAGCAATGAGCTTAAAGCATAAAGAAAAATTCCATTAATTTTCTGACAACTTCCTCTGAAAGTGAAAACAACTGATACTTGTTGATGTGTTCAAATATATCCCTCCATAGGTCCCACGGTAATATTTTCTGTTCCGATTTAGTAACAGTTGTTACCAGAACAATCCCTGTTGATAGCTAGGTATGTAGCTAAAGATAGGAGGAGATGTGGGCTCTATTGAATCCAGGATAATCAAATTAAAAAAAGATCCAAGACATATATACCCAACCAATTCAATTGTGAGAATTGAACACTTGATAACAGTGCAATAAAAACGTTTTTTTCAATTAACCAAATATAGGCATCCTCTAGCTTGCTAAAATGGGGTTTATGAACATCACATTCTAAAAAGGTCTGGTTGAGTTGGGGATGGAAATTCCCAAAAGAGTGAGAAGCATTCCTGGGGGGTGGGGTGAGAGGCCTGCCACCACCCAGCTCTCACCCAAGGTGGTGGGGAAACTAGTACTACAACTGGCAGGCAATGAAGCAAGAACAAAGATTCCAGTACTTTCCAGTTGCCCTCAGCACGAGAGCTATCTCCCCACACAATCTGTTATGTATACTGAAATTGCTAAATTACTCTATACTTAAAAAGTAAGTGAGTAGAGTGCTCCCACGGAAGATATACTCCATATCTTAAGCAAACAACACTTATATTTTGCCAACAATCCATGTGTTTAGACTGTCTATCAGCTTATATATCATGTCAGTTTAACCTTGAGGAATTTCGCAGGCAATTCAAAGAAAATTAGGAAGTGAAACGACAGTTGTCTTTTCTGGAAGGCAGGGCTGTGATCAAATAAGATTATGTGAAGAGGAGGGTCCCGAGCCTCGTGCCATGCCGCCAGTGTGACAGCATCTATAAGGGAACTGCAATTTTGCAAACGTGCACAACTCGCAGGCTACCTGGCATCGAGACTGACATGGAATTGCGGTTTTTAGACTTCTAAATCATTTCTCTCCAAATTGGACTCCTCCCCAAGCATACTGCTTAGGAAGCATTTCTCATTGTAACACCCTTGGGAAAAGATACCTGGCCCTCCGCGGGTGGTGGGCTATTCTCAGAGCTGAAGCGCTCCTGCATTCCAGTCAAACAGCTGACCAAAGGGATGGGTGTTCGCTAGAGTTCTAATTTCTAGGTCCACCATCACTTCTGTGCAGTCTGTACTACTATCTTCAACATGAAGCCATCAGTCCAATTATCCAGAACTCAGGGTTAAATACTTTATTTCTCTGATTCGAGCACGAAGCTTCTACATGCAAAATAAACACTGGGTGCAGAGTTCCGGCACGGCCTCATACTTACTAACACCAAGGCTGTCGAGTGTGCTCGAATCTCTGAGCTTCTGGGGAAATCATGTCCTACATAGATGGTGTTACCATAATCCAGTATTTTCTAAAGCTGTCAAACTTGAAGCCTTCAGCTGGAAAGGCGCCGTGCAAAAATGAAATCGAGTTGCATCTGGAAGGCTGCACCTCCGTGGGAGTCCTAATCAGGTTGAGTGCAGTTCCGTGCTATCCAGAGCAGCCTTCAGTGCAGGAGGTAGGCCATTTAAATGCTTTGTGAACTCCATTAGTTACTCCTGCTGAGAGTGAAAAAGTCCTCATAAATGCATAAAAAATTAAATTGCCTATAAGGTAAGAAATGAGATGGTACCTTGCTGCCAAATATTATTTTCCATTCAAATAGTCTACAATCACACATACAATGCAGAATCATAGAGCACATACCTGTAAGGCATGTGGCGCTGACTAGGGATGCTGTGCTGGAAAAGCTAGGGACATCTCATCACCTGGTAACAATCCCCTGACTTGACTTCAAGTTTCCTTCCCCTCTGTCCCCACCCCCATCCCAGATGGCACTCCCAGTCTCCATTCCAGGCTCAACATGGGGGTCAGGCCAGCCCAGGGGGAGTGTCAGAGACGCCTGGTCTAGATGAGCGAGAGAAGGAGGCCCAGACCTTGTCAGAACTGCCAAGGTGCAAGCTGGGGTGCATGGGACTTCTGAGAGAGATGCACTCTTTTTTTCTTCCCTCTATGTTCCCAGACCTTGGCAGAAGGTGTCCGGGACTGCAATTGCTGTTTCGCCATACACGTGCAACCTGTGAAGGTAGGCAAGAGCTAGCTGGAGAGCTGGCGAGACGCTGGGTCCTTAAGACACCGTTCTGAGGCCCACTATCCAGCTATGCATCTGAATTTTCAGTAACATTAGCCAATAAACCCCATTTTTCTTAGATACAAGTTTTCTTTCACTTGTAATCAAAACAGTCCTGACAAACAATTGAAATGGAGAACCGTTTTAACTTACATGTATCTTGGAAGAGGTTTCTCTCATTCTGCTGGTGAGGAAGGGCACAGAAACGTGGGGTGGGGTTGTCAAGTTCTCTGTTAGTTAGCAGTATAGATGGGACCATAACCCAGGGTTCTTACTTTCTCATGGGATGTTCACACTAGACCATGGGAAAAATTCAACACAAGGGACTTGCTTAAAACTTTTAGTTAAACCTTTGCTCCAATTAAAAGATTACTTATTGGTGGAGTGCCTGAGTGGCTCAGTCAGTTAAGCGTCCGACTTTGGCACAGGTCATGATCTCACGGTTTGTGGGTTCGAGCCCCACATCTGGTTCTGTGCTGACAGCTCAGAGCCAGGAGCCTGCTTTGGATTCCGTCTCCCCCTCTCTCTCTTCCCTTTCCCCGCTTGCATTCTCTCTCTCAAAAATAAACATTAAAAATATGTTAAAAGATTACTTATTGGTTATTTTCTTTAAAAAAGAACTTCTAAATTAGTATCTTAACTGATCCTTTGCATTGTTACCTCGAATACGGACAACTTGAAAATACAATAAATTTCTTAGAAAGGTGCTTGTGGCCTGCTTTAACAACAATAGAAATAGCCCAACAAAATAGCTTAAAATGTTTTATTAAGTATATATAATATTACAGGGTAATATTTACAAAGTTATGTTTTTAAATAAAAAAGTATCTTGGCAAAGATTGCAGATATTCAAAGCTTCAAACGGTGATAAATTGATTTAATACATATAAAAAAAACCTTTAACGGTAACACAGCTGTAAAACAACTTTGGTCTTTAAATCACTGCAAAAAATGGCTACTGACAAATAGCACACCTTTAATTGCTATGGAAAAAAGCCCCAAGAGAGGATCTTGCACATAGCAACACTGGAGTTTTTTTTATTTAGAAATGGTTAATGGATATTTATATGATGTGGGATCTAAATCTCAACAATGGCTTTTTGTAAATAATGCTCCATTTAATAAAAACAGAAATGTTTCTTTCTCTCATCAACCCTGATAACAACACTTTTAAGATTCCATTGATGTCGCCTTACAGAGAAGCTTATTACAAATGCTCTCTTTTTTTTCAAAAGGCTAAATTTATGGGAAAGCTGGTCTTAAATGATAAGTAAGAGCTGTCAAAAGCCAAAGGCAGGAAAACTTCCTGCTCACTGCTTATCTCCTAAAAGTTACCTGGATTATTATCCCTACTAGCCACAGAAAATGACTTAACAAAGGACCCCACTGGGTGATGGCAGTTAGTGATTTTGAAAATATGACACATGTAAAACTAAAGTTTCTAAACAAACTCTCCATCAAATAAAACATAATAAAAACATAAAGGGTTGCCCAACAATCATTTCTCCAGTTTCCAATGGCAGGTAAATAAAGAAGTATGCATTTCCATACACATCCCACAGGTCTGTTTTTGAATACCCCCTTTAGGACAAAAAAACTTCTAGAAGGTGATACAGAGCTTAATGAGATGGAGGAGTTGAACACATCACTTTTTGAGCTTTATTCATTCAAATCACAATTTGGTCATTTACTAAATTGACTGTAGCATCCCAGAATAACCAATACTCTCAAATTTGGGATAGCCCCATTATTTTCATCTTGACATTCTCAGAAATTTAAACAAAATGAACCTGGAGTTTCCAGGTGAAAAATCATCACCTTATCACCTTTTAAGGTTTTCGGAGCATGTGAAATTTGTTGGAAAAGAAAACTATCTAAATCACTCTACTGAAAATAGTAGGGCATCTACACACAGCCAACTCTCAATCATCGAACCTATGTACTGAACATCTAATGTATGCAAAACACTGCAGGAAGAGAAAGGAAAAAAAAAAAAAGCTCTTGCCATAACAGAATTTCAACATCAAGTGAGAAGCAAGACAAAAAAACCCACTAGACCTCAGCAGACACACGTGAAGTATTAAGCAAGGTGTTAGATGAAAGAGGGGGGTGGACTACAGAGGAGAGCCAGTAGGGGAGGCAGGGCTTGAGGAGAATGTTTTGAAGGAGACGGAAAAATCAGATTTGGCCAAAAACATTGGAAAGGTTGTTGCAAAAACGACAAGGGGTGTCAGAGAATGTACAATAAATAAAATCGAGTGGAAGAGTCGGTGGCAAAAATTGGGATCACTGAGTTAAAAGCACGTTGTGTGGGGGAGGAACAGATACGTGATGCTCAAAACTAATGTTAATTCTAATTTGGTAGAACAAAAAAAATCGGGAGCCCACTACACGTCTGATTTAAAGAGAATGACCTGGCCCAATGATGGCCAAGCAAGAGGGCTCCCGCTGATGTGGTCCCTTTTCCAGAGAAGCTGACAACTAGTAAGACCGAGAGTTGATGTCACCTGGCATCTCTCCTGCTTCCTCTGTGCGTTGTCTAGGGCAGTGAGTGCCTCAAAAGACAGGCAGCATTAAAGAGAACACAAAGGATGGGTGGGTCCCAAGACTGAACCCCAAAGAAATGAGAGTTTATTGCATATTAAAAGGTACAACCTTAGTTTATAAAAAAGTTTACTATAAAGGTTTTCATGCCTTTCTTTTTCTTAATAGAGAATAGGTATCTGGATCGTTTTCAAGTTCATCTGCTTTTCTCCTCCCTTCATCAAAACTGATTTCTAAAGTAACAAACAATATAGTAAAATATAAATATTTTCAGAGGGAAAAAGGGCAGCAAGAGCCATCAGATTTATATAAAGGAACACAGCTCCCTCTACATATGATAATATTTTGGACAGCAACACACTTAGGAAAGAAAAACAAAAAAAAATTTTTTCAAGAAGAGCTGTCCTCATCGTTTGTTCGGTTTTCTGAGAAGCATCAGCAGGTCATAAAATTGAGGTCTGCCATGGGCAAAACCATTTGGTCCCAACATGAAATATGAAAATTAATTTGGCATAAAAGAGGCACATGGGAACAGTTAGTGGACTAAGAAATAACTATTAGTAATGTAACTGCAGATATGAATGTCTTATTAGACAGACAGGAAGAATTACTAGTATTTTTAGAAGGTATTGTGAGCAGTCAAAAAGCTTGGCAAATTACCTAGAAGTTTTTGAAGTTTTAAATGATCAAATATTCGCATCAAATATAATTCCACCCAATAAAGATCTTTTTAAATGTTTTTACTAAGAGCATGAAATTAACATTTGCTCTCCTGTGGGTACCCACTGTTGTCCACACAGAAGATGCACGTGCCTACCTTATACATGTGCGCACACACACACACACACACACACACACACACACACAGAGGGAACCGAGTGCTAATAATCTAAGAGTACTCCAGGTGATCACAACGGTCAGAATGTTAGTTTTCTTCTAATGGGGGTAGGAAACGTGGGGGTTTTGTTTTACTTTCCAATCTTAGGGTAAGGGGCTTACGGAGGCAGGACTACAGGAGGGAGATGATGAGTGTTTATCATGCAACACAGACACAACAGTAACAAAACCACCCTTCCGAGGGCTGGCTTGTTGGCCTGACGGTGACACGTTATATTGCCATGCAGGAGACTCACAGTTCAAATCTCAATCTTGGTTTTTCATGCCCCAGATCAGAAAAGAAGTGAAGAAACATTGTAGATTGTGCCTTCAAATCCGAGGAAGGAAATACATATGTTACAACCATCGCTACTTTTGCTGAAAAGTGTGAACATAGTTCTCTGAAAATAAGTCTGGCTCCTTTCTGCAATGATGCTACCATGTCACGTGTCACGGGACCATGTTCAAAGAGGAGAAAAGGTGCTACATCTTGTACAGCAGAAGCAAATAACAGGAGGACAAGACAGGGTTTAAAGGGTTGTGTGAATAAGAGATAAACACATTCATCAATAAAATTACCCTAACTCTGAAAAGGATTCATCACACGGTATGCTGAAGGAAGAATGTGTGAATGGCAACCCCCAAGAATGAAGACCATGGTCTCCTGCCGGAGATGTAGGCGGCATTCAAGATGTTCCCAACCAAACTCCTATCTGTACTTAAATTTGCTATTCCTTTGACCCAGACGTTCCAGAAACCTTACTCGGCTAACACCAGCCATACTGCCAAAGTGGCTGTGAACCCGAGTGTGCTAAGGTTCTGTGGAAGCCACTGTTCTTCACAGATCTCTCTGGGAAACCAACAGGTTAGCGTCACGTGATTCTCAACCTCGAACCAATTCAAACTGGTAAACTACAGTCAAGAGGCCCTAAGATCTGAAAGGCATCATTCTTGGAAATTAGCCACTCTACCCTTGCCCTTTACTGAATAAAAATAACAACAAAAAACTGGATCTCAATTGGGCACACAACACAGATAATAATTCTTTTATTAACTAAATTACAAATGCTTTGAATAAAAACTTAACTGTAACAATCATTTAAGGGTCAAAGATTTACTTTCTCCCACAGATGAGAACCAGTAATTTTTCTTGTTTTCTTCTCCTGAACAGTGAATCAAGGCCATGGTGCTTAAACACAATTGTATTCCTTTCATATCTTACTACTTTCCAAATCAGAGTCCATCACTTCACTTCAGTTACTCTGGAAAATTGAAAAATGAACATATAATCATTATTCCTGTCCATTTTCTATGCATTAACAAGTTGATGAATTTTTAAAAATTAAAAGTTTCAGATATACAGCATCTAAAAATAAAGAAAAAGTGTTTAATCTTAGATTTACAAAGGTCACAGATGTAAACCGGGTAAATCATTAGTCTTTTTAGTTGTAGTAAGTAAAAGGCCAATGCCACATGAAAATAAAAATCAACAAAGTCTGATAATCTCAGTTGGCTGGGTTGGCTGAGAAGCCAAGAGATGTTGGTTTTTCAATGCAAAAGATATTGACCACAGAATAATATTCTATCACATTCACTTTAGCCTACATCATTCATTTGATGTAAGTGAAATAAACATGTGAGTAGGTGCAAGTGAAAGAGAAAACGGGATTGTGGTCCTTAGAAAGACAGTCTGGGGGCGCCTGGGTGGCGCAGTCGGTTAAGCGTCCGACTTCAGCCAGGTCACGATCTCGCGGTCTGTGAGTTCGAGCCCCGCGTCAGGCTCTGGGCTGATGGCTCAGAGCCTGGAGCCTGTTTCCGATTCTGTGTCTCCCTCTCTCTCTGCCCCTCCCCCGTTCATGCTCTGTCTCTCTCTGTCCCAAAAATAAATAAACGTTAAAAAAAAAAATAAAAAAAAAAAAAGAAAGTCTGAAACTGACGAGGCAGACACACTGTGAGGGCCTGGAGCCCACCAGAAAGATTTAAAAAAAGGTTAAAAAAAAGAAAAAAACAAGAACAAATTCTGAACAGCTAAATATTAGCAAAATTAAGGGAATTTCAAAGATCATCATAGACTTTGTATGCTATGAACACACAAAAACTGCTGTATCTACTGACATGGTGGTTCCAAAAAAAGTCACATGAAATTAATAAAGGAAAATGCACTTGAGGTTCTTATACTAGTTTTCTGAAAACAGAGAAAAGGAGTTTCATTTCTTTATACAACTACAGAAGAATCACATGGCAGAAGAAAAAGAGCAAAGAAATAAAAACAAAACAAAACAAGAGAATGTAAACATGGACGAACTATGCCACAATTCCAGGTACTAGTTCTTTTTTTGAATGTCACTTAGTTTATTCCTACCAACTGCAAAATTTTTTTTTATTAGGAAGGTGGTGGTTGGTAAATAAAACAGACATTTTTGTAGTGAAGGCTGTGCCTACAACACAAACCTACAAAAGTGGAATCGTTCTGTGATTCCTTGTTGAACACAGCCTAACCATTGTTTTAAACTTTGTCCACCAGTACACAATTGGTGTGTTTTTAATCTTATGCAAAAATTAATTGCACTCATGGGAATATAGCCTCTTGTGTTAAATGCTGCACTTTGCCACAGAGGTGAGGAGGTTAAAGCAGTAAAATAGCACACTATTTACATGATCAAGGAATGACTAAATATCAAAGGTATGAAGAAATGTTGGATAAGATAAAAACATACAGTTATTAAAATATTAACAGAATTGAAGTATCACAGCATCTTTAAGCAAAATCAAAATGAATACTCATAGCACTCAATATGTCCGACTTACTTATCTTTAAAAACTAGCAAATGTCTTTGAAATAATACAAAATAGAAGTGATTAGCCCAGAGTTCCAAAACAAGAAGCAAAAGCTGAGTGACTAAACATTTCTTTTTAAATCCTTTTTCAAATGGTTACAACTGAGTCCCTAGTTGGAAAAGCAGAGATATTAAGTCCCCATGAATTAAATGCAACAAATCACCAACACAAGCACAAAAGAAACCCTGTCAAGATGATAAAGATTTGTGCCAGATTATCTATGTGTCTTCTAAAAATCATTTTTAAAAGTTACAGGCACCAGACATTGTAGCTGAAAAATGTTTTTAAAAAAGCAGTAATTTCTCTTTGCTACAAGCAGTAAGACTGGAAAGTCTGATTCGTGACACCCTACAGCTTTTATATCACTGGTTTTGCAACTTTTAAGAGTAGCTTTAAGTTTTATAAATCAAAAAATGTAGACCTTTATGATTTGACAGTGTCCCTTTTATATACAAAAAAAGCATACTTTAAAGAAGCCCTTTTATTTCTTTTCAATGTTCCTATTTTAATCAATCTATAATTGCAGGTGCATTTTACACTTACCATCATTCATCATTCCTTTTGATTCTTTAAATGCTAAGAATTAGTAACAAGCCAAGCAGTTAGTAAGGTTCAACAATTAGAAATCATTTCTAAATAAATATGCAGTAATATCATGCTAACTATTCCACAGCTATGAAGACAAATTAATTTTAAGTCTATTACTTTATTACAAAAGCATGTCTGTGGCTCATATCCAGACTCTCAAAGGAAACAAAGTCAGTTGGGAACATAGATCTAGGTTTAGGGAGAAAGAAAGTGAGATGCTTGGGTCTCACGACATGACAGTCTGTATCTGAATTTGTAAATCAGAAACTGAAATTAATTGAGATTCTTTTCTATCGGCTAATATAAGGCAATGGTCTTCTTGCCTAAGTATTGCTTGGCCAGTGCAAGCAAGGACTGGAGAGATACTGAGGAGTGCGTTTTTCTTAGAGGTAAGAACATTACAATAGTAATACTCTTAATTATTATTTTAATTATTATATTAATTATTATAATCAAGAAAAGAGAGGTCAGGCAAGAAAAAAATGGGATTTTTTTCCCCAGACATAGATGGAGCATTCTAATTGCTTTGGGGCCAGCTCAAATTATCATCTGGTAATGGATCAAGAAGAATATACAAGTTTGTAATAACCACATACCATTAAGGGGTTCCTCTACAGCTTTCTGGAAAATATTTAAAATATATTTACGTAAAAATAGAATTTATTTCATGTCCTTTTATACTAAAATTTATATATGCTAACATTTAAACTCTATAGTAAAGAGTGAATCCTATAGGCTAAAAACAAAGTAAGGCAATAAAAGTTAAGGAAACAAAGATTGCCAAGTTTACCTGATAGTTTAATAACAACTATTAGTCTTTTAATATTTTTCTATGCAGAATTTCCCACCCACTCTGCCTCTTTCAGTTCAAGAAATTCAAACTTCTCAAAAAAAGTGCAAACATAAATAGCAACACAATAATAGATAATACAGTTAAACAAGGGGGGAGACAAAAACACAATCATTTTTAAATCATGCAAGTTGAACTCAGTAACAAGGAAAGAAAATGTGTTAAGATTTAAGGGTCCAATGGTTGGATTATCTCTAACAGAGGCACTTTAAACACTGCTGGCTGTTGGTGACCAATGTAGCTACAGCCCCAATCTTTTCAGAATAAACACCCGTGGAAAGATGCACCCTCAGGCCCTCCTTGCCTATCAGACATGTCTGTGGAAGCTTGTCAGACTCAGGAGTATATGTAATCTCCACTTCCTGCCACAGACAAGAGTCTCAATTTTGGCATTTCAGATAGAGCTACTATTATTCCTTCTAGGAAGGTGAGTACAGTATAGTCCTCTCCAGGTCTTCTTTCCATAAAATAGTTCTTGGGCCTGTCACATGATAATTCTCTACACGGGTTTTTTCACCTGCTCATTTATCTGGTTTATTTCCTAATTTGTTCCTTTTCTTGGAATTTTCTTAGATAGTTTTTAAGGTATCCAAGATAGAGTAAAAACTATAGTACAGTTTGGAGGAAGAAAAATGCTTCTAAAATGAGGGAAGAAGGGAAACGAATCATAATTCAGAACAGATATATTTCAGCAATATGTACATTTATTGCATAGATTATTATTTTTAATGAAATCAATTTCATACAAATCTCTCGCTCTCATTTTAAAAGCCTGAAGTAACATTTTGTATACCTACATCAAATGGAGCCAATAGGTGAGGCAATATACTGGAATCAGCTTCCTTCAGCAGAGATAATAACCATTATTCTTACACAGAAACTTTCCAGTTCTGAGAAAGTGAGAAGTCACTTGAGAAATTATTAGCACAATGTTAAGGAATCACTGATTCTGTCCTACTGCAACTAAAATGACCAGATATATTTTAAAGTAAGTTGGATCTACTCATGCAAAAGTCATGAAATTACTTCAGTGTTCTCTTAATCTGATGGTATACACTGAACAGAGAGCAAAAGGCTTTAGTATCTATCTCAATTATCATTTCTCAGTCAAAACCATCAACTGATCATTCCAAATTCATTTAAGAAAGTTTAACTTACCCTAGGAGGTTGTATAGTCTTCTGATTGGAAGCTGATATAATTAAAAATTGAGAAAATAAATTTAATACGTTAAGGCAATATAATGTTTAATCTCAATGACTATTAATGGTTAATTTCAAATGATTTTATGCATTGATAGAATATAATGATCAAATGACCCACCTACATCAAATAATAAACCAATACATTCTCTCATTTGTACAGGCTATACTTCTCCTAAATCAGCCATTTGTTAAACTTCTTGGTGAAAAATGCTGTCTATCATCTATTCATCCCCACTGTGGACTCTATACCCCTCCCCACTCAACCCAGCCAGAATGTGGACAGAAGGTGGCAATGACCAATCTTCACCTCTACTCCACTGCCTGCCCTTATTAGCTCACTGTTCTCATTCCTTGTGACCCAGTCTTCTCTTCTGCTTCCATCTTTCCAGTTTTCAATGCTCCAAATAGCTAACAAACTGAAAAAAAATATTCAGATCCCTCGGAGTTCAATGAATTCTCCCAACAGTTAGTTTTAGCCACAATCAACCTCTTCTCCATGTACTCTTTCTCAGTTTTCCAAGTTACCCTCTGCACTGTTTCTGAGTGGACTGGTTAATGAAGGAATACAGGGCATGGAGAAAGAGAGAGGGGAAAAACATTTACTTCAGTTGCATAGGGAGAAAGAGAGAACTTCGTTACAAAAGCCAAGTGAGAAGGACCCAGCGCAGCGGAAGCCAGTCCTAAATCAGAGTCCTATATGTATGAAAGCATGAACCAGCAACATCCTGTGAACAGGCTGGTGGGAGGGTAATGCTATGGGATAGTCAATTACATTATCCTGTGGATTGGATGGAAGGCTGAATTTGCTTGTGAGCTACCGATGCAGGGCCCCAGAACCGCTCTAGTGTTCTGTGCTCTTTACTTACTACCATTCCTCCTCCACATTCACCCCTACCAAGCTTCCAAAGCTGATGGGCAATGGGAGTGAGACCCCACGCAAGGACAGCCAATGTAGAAACCAGCCAGAAGCCAACAGGCTCTCTCAAACAGAGACCATGGTGACTAACTAGCCTGAAAAGTTTTTCTCTCCCACTGAGACCTGAAGAGGAGAAAGAGAAATAGACCAGAAAGTTGGTGATGGAAAGGAAGGTGACAAGGAGACAGAAAGCAAGCTGGGAGAGAAGCTCAAAGATTAGAGACAAACATAAGAGAAACTACCAAGGAGAAGACAAGAACAAAATATAAGATGAGGCCATAAAGGAGAGGATGAGCTCTTAGGGAAAGAACCAGAAAGGAACTCACAGTATAATCTGCAGATGGGCACTGACTAACTCTTGTTACTCAGAGGGCAACACGATGATTCAGTTTGTAGAGATGTATCAGAACTTTCTAATTCCTAAATGGCTTACTGTCTCAGCCCCTGTGAGGTCTGGTTATATCTCAGTTCTCAAGAGATTCCCCATCTCTGCTAGTGTCACGTGTGGCTTTAAAGTAAATCTCCCTTACAGGAGGCACGGGGGCAGCGGTGTGGTCCTTGCAGCCAAACAAGGAAACCACTTTCTAAAGTAGTATGGAGTGAAATGGGTTGGGAATATGGGTGAATCACATTTAGCAGCCTCTCAAAAGAAGCCAAGCAGAATTATAGAACTTCATTAGGGATCATCACAGTAGTTACATATATATACAAATCACTTCAACTAAACCATGACTCTATGTTCTATCCAAGAAAAGAAAACTGAACAGCTGTGCAAATTTCTGACTGGTAGCGTGAAGGATCAGAGGCAAGATTTTAGAGCTATATTTTTGAAATCATAAATTTATTTATCAGGATTAACATTAAGAACTTCCAAGTAACTCCTTTTCTATCCTAATAATGTGTAAAGAATAGTTTCTGAGTTCCAATTCTCAGGTCCAGGGAACATCACATTTTGGCTAGACCATTCTGGAAAATAAGAGCTGGGATACCAGTCAGCTGTGCTCTCCCTAGTAGTAGTATAAAACCCAGAAGTGCAAAAGCTAATTTGAGTTTTCACTTGAGTTAATTCTCTCCCACACACATATGACCGAGGTGACAAAATGGCTGTGGTTTATCTGTTCTTACCATGCCTAAGGCACTACACACATACATACATATGTGTATATGTGTGTGTGTGTATGTAGTCACATATATATGTAGTTTAAATACATATATTTATTTATTTTTAAGCCACAAGCTTTAAGGATTCCATATGAGCCCCCTTGCAAGGTTTCTTCCTGATTTGTTCTTCTCTCCCTGAAACATCTGATGACATGACACAAATATATTTCTACGTTTTGAATTTTCAGAAATATTTTTCCTACTGATAGCAGACCTACCTCTTCCTAACATCCTAACAGTGAACTATAAAATATCACTTATATATATTCACTCCATGTCATTCTAAAACAAGTGATATGTTGTGATAAATCTGGTTTTTGATTACTAGTAGGTTGATTTATAACAAAACATAATTATATGTCTTTATACTGAACTGGTAATGGCTTAAAAAAAGGAAAACAAAATGAACAAGTATGGACTCTTATAAATAATGGATATAAATGCCCCATATAATCAACAAGCCTAATTCTAGTGAGTTTAGTTAGCAGTATTTAATTTTCTATGTGATTCACATTATTATTTCCAACCCCAATTTCATTTTGTAAAACTTAAATACTTCCAGTAATAAAAAAAAAATCCAACAGTTTAAAAAGACCATAAAAAGTGAAAGTTAAAATCTTACTTCTAAAGTAACAATTAAGGCTACAAATTTAAACTTGGAAATAATAAAAATAACAAAGTTAAAATTCTCATAGGGCCATTAACTTACTCTTAAAAAAGATAGCTTGGATTTTAACAACAACAAAATCTGAGAATTTTATTGCATTTAAGTCAAGACACATTCATTAAGCTTTTCCAAAACAGAGCACAATGAGTAAAATTTATTTTGGAAACACAATTACTTGCCTCCTGATAAAAATGCTAAAATTTGCAACCTTAATGTTACATATACTGATATTTACACACTCAGGTTATATAAGAAAAACACACTAATTTTCCTATTCTACCACATTATCTAAAGAGCAACTTTCCTGTACCTTTTCTCTTCTTGCCCTTCAACTGACCGAAGGTGTGCCTCTGAATTCTGGCATTAGACAAGTTGATTTGGAAAGTTAATTTAGAATATTCTCAAAATGTCAATAAAATTGGACTAAATTCTTAACATATAAATATCTATATGCTAAACTATGATAAAGAAAAAATTGGGGGAACTCTTTTAGGATTTTACTTTCACTTCGATTTTTCACATGAGAACAGTATGTGTGTTACTACACTGGTTTCCCAAGCTTCTTTGGGAGATAAGCTATGGAGAAGGGAGAGACAGGACCCAGGAGGTGGTAGCTAGACAATGCCTATTTCCACCTGAGTCGGCATTCCAGACCTGTTGGCAATTCTACTGAACATCATTCTTTGTTAGACATGGAAGGCATGGGGAGCAAGGCAATAAAAGGGAGGATGATCCGGGGTGCCTGGTGGCTCAGTCGGTTAAGTGTCTGACTTCAGATGAGGTCATGATCTCACAGTCCTTGAGTTCAAGCCCCATGTCCCGCTCTGTGCTGACAGCTCAGAGCCTGAAGCCTGCTTCAGATTCTGTGTCCCACTCTCTCTTTGTCCCTCCCCCACGCGCGTGTGTGCTCTCTCTCAAAACTAATAAGCAAACATTTAAAAAAAAGGGAGGATGATCCAGACAATGAGGAATAAACAGAACAAAGAGCCATCAAAGACACCTAATACTACATCATGTTGTAGGAATATTGAGGAGAACATTGTATTCTCAAACATTCACACAGAGCAATGTAACTAGCAGTATAAACTTCAAGAACCACACAAATGGGGACTGGAATATTCAACAAAAATAGAATATGTATCAACATTCATAATGTGATGCTCATGATAGCTACTACCATTGGGCTGAGAGGTCTTCATTGTATTTTATGGACCTGTGAGTCATGAACTAAGAAAATTTTGTTGAGGAAATAACTCTGATTTATGAGAACACATAAACCAAAGATAGGGAGATTTTAGTTAAGTATTTTGTTTATCTAACAAGCATTAACTAGATAGGGACAAAAGAATATGTAACAAAACTGAACTCAATGATCAGTCAGCAAAAGCTGAGGTTAAGAAACAAAGGTAAAGTTTCTTTGACAATATTATGTAAGCCATATGGAAAATTATTTGACTAACAATTCAAGGTTCATATAATTTTTGAAACACAGTAAAGTTCACCTAAAGCAGAACACTGATTTTTTTTTTACTCTATTATTTGGCAACTTTTGATTATTTTGACAAATTTTTAAGAGTCTGGTTTACTGCTTAAATAAAAAAAACAACTTTTTTAAAGGGATACTAATGTAAACCAATCGTAGGGAACATTTTTAGCTTAAATCAGACAACATACTACCTAAAAGCATCTGCCTCTATGTATAAAAAATAAGAATTTATATAGACATCTGTTATTTGAAAATTGGCAGATTAAATATGTAATTCAAAAAAATTAGCTAATTCCAACTTACTAACCATTTATTTTAAAGGTAGTAAAAACAACATGGAAGGATCCAGAGTGTATAATGCTAAGTGAAATAAGTCAGTGAGAGAAAGACAAACACCATATGATTTCACTGATATGTGGAATTTAAGAAACAAAAACAAAGGAAAAAAGAGACAACAAAAATAAGATTCTTAATTATACAGAACTGGTGGTTACCAGAGGGGAGGTGGGTGGAGGATGGGGGAAATAGGCAAAGGGAAGTAAAAAGCACACTCCTCATCATGAGCACTGAATAATGTATAGAACTATCGGGTCATTAATATTGTGTACCTGAAACTAGCATAACACTGTATGTTAATTATACTGGATTTTAAAAATTAAATTAATTAATTAATTAATTAATTAATTAAAAGGTAGCAAAAGCCTAAATTTTAAAGCTCCATGTTTTTATTATATTCGTTTCGTTGCTGTTGTTGTTGTTTTGGGAGGTTTTATTTTTATTGTATTGTATTTTTAATTTTATTGAAATCCAAGTTAGTTGACATATAGTGTGTTAATGGTTTCAGGCATAGAATTTAATGATTCATCACTTACATATAACACCCAGTGCTCATCCCAACAGGGCCCTTCTTGGTACCCATCACCCATTTAGCTCATCTCCCCTATTCCCCTTCCCTCCAGCAACCTTCAGTTTGTTCCCTATATTTAAGAGTCTCTTAAGTAAAAATATTTTAAAGTCAAGTAAAGTCAAAAGACACTGTTCTTTTAACAAAAGTGACAGATTTTGAATTTCAAACTGTCTACTTAGGGGAGCCAAGGTCTATAAACAATCTGCAAGAAGAGCAAGTAACAACTAGGTCTCTCATAGAAACAATGGGACAATTAAAAATCTTTTTCTATTAAAATGAATCTTTGCCCCACTTCAGGCTCTGTGCTGACAGCTTAGAGCCTGGAGCCTGTTTCAGATTCTGTGTCTCCCCCTCCCTCTGCCCCTGTCCTGCTCACACTCTGTCTCTTGTCTCTAAAAAAGTGGGTAAACGTTAAAAAAAAATAAAAATAAAAATAAAAAATAAAAAAATATAAAACAAATCCTCAACATTCTCTCCTTTTAGCTAGTATAGTTTATACATTCTAAAACATAAAGCCATTTTTAAAAAAATAGTTTATAATCTAAAATTTTCATTAATTCATATTACTTCTACCCTCTTTCATTACCCCCAAATCATTCCAATTTTATTATTTAAGAAATACAGCTGCATTCATGATATATTCTCGTTTTTGGGAAAACTGATAAATTTCTTTAGTCAAACCATAAGAGCCAATCAAAGCATTACATTCGTTATATTTCAATTATATAACTGAAATTCTCGGCACAGGCTAACAAAAAATAAGATTGACTTACCAACAAGTTTCATATAAACTAATCCAAGTAATTCTGCTAGAGCTATAATACCCAAACCTGAAATCAGAAGAGGGCCATTCACTGGGGTGCACTCTGTAAAAACAAGTGAGATTTTACATTAAAAATCTACATGAAATAAGTTATCTTTTTAAAAAAACAAACAACAATAAATCAAGTTTTAAGGAGAGTAATTCTTTTTCTAATTATTAAGAAACAAAAACTACCTACATATATTCATCATTATTAACTCAGTGAAATGCCTCCAAATTATTAAAAGACAAAAGATTTTGTTTGCATAACATGTGCCTTATCACATCAAGACTAATAGAAAATAGTGTGTAAAGCCTTAAGTTCCAACCAATTAGAGGCTGGTTATTTAAAAAATTCTCCCACAAATATAGGCACAGCAGTTTGGCTGCTAGAATAATCAGCCACAAGCCATATACAGCCAATATTCTCATGGCAATATGGAAAGCACTATTCTCAGTGGGGAAAAAAAGAAAGTTAAAAAAAGAAAGCTCACAAAGCCCACAACACCAAATGCTGGCAAGGATGTGGAGCAACAGGAACTCTCATTCATTGCTGGTGGGAATGCAAAATGGCACAGCCACTTTGTAAGATAGGTTGGCAATTCGTTACAAGCTAAATATGTTCTTAACATAACAACCCAGCAATCACACTCCTTGGTATTTACTTAAATGGAGTTGAAAACTTATGTCCACACAAAAACACGCACATGGATGTTTATAGTAGCTTTATTCTTAATCATCAAAAACTGAAAGCAGCAGGATGTCCTTCAATAGGGGAATGGATGAATGGATAAAGAAGAAGAAGGAGAGGAGGAAGAAGAGCTCTGTCCAAGAGAAATCTGTAGTAAGAAAAACTGGGATGAGAAAAGAACGTAACCCTTACCTGAGACACAGAGGCTTAGTCCAACCACAGAGAGCACATAGCCCAGTACCTGAAGGATCAATATGGCGATGGTGAAAGAAGACATCCAAACACCTGAAGAAAGAAAAAGTGGGTTGAGAGCATTTAAGAAGCAATCATACCGACTTGTATTTTGTGCAATCAAAAATAATATCCAGTGACCATAGACTGACTCTGGATTTCCTTATGAGATGCTTGATTCTTTCCCAACGATTTAAACTTTGCCTTTTCACACAAGTAGTCTGTTCCAGAGTCACACGTTCAGCAGTCTTTTATTTTCACAGTGAGCTGAGCTGGACTGGTGCTTTTTACCCCAAACCTTAGAACAATGCTGCTTTTACCACATTTGTGCATTTTACAGTATGAATGGCTATTATGCGTGACTTCACCACATGCACATAAAATTACTCTAGCAAAGAGAACCATTATGCAAAACATGCTGCTGTAAACATCATAACCTCTGTCTCGTGTGCCTAGATCCGTAATTTTATAACAAATTAATAACTTTCCAATGTACACCAAGCCAGAGATAAGCTCAAAGACCGAGTTAAATGTGCAAATAGGAAAAAACAGACTGTAATAATAACAAAAATATGTTAGTGATTGACTCCAAAAATGCAGTGAAGATTATACCAATTACAATTTGGATACTTGCATCATCTTTTAAAACTACAATGTTGAGATTTGCCAATAACTAAAAAAGATATTTCTATTTATAATTGATAACCCTAATTTGTAGAACTATTTTTTAAGACAGGCTTGGCAAAAGAAGAGAAAGGGCATGTTTAATGTCTACTTATAACTTGAAAAAGCTGAAATAAAAATATGAAGATAATCATTAAGAAATTATATAACATAATTTTAAAAATCCACTGGCTAGCATCAAATATATATGAAAATTACTTTTTATTAAATAATAGAATGCCCTGAAAACCTAAGCTAACCTTAAAATTAATCCACACAGGGGAAGTGTTACTAAGAACATAAGCCGACTTTTATTAAGTTGTGAAAGAAAGAAAAAAAGAAAATCATACAAGAAATATTTTAACCAAAAATGTTTTCAAAAAGAAAAAGGTAGACAAAATCATGCTATAACATATACTTACCTATCATAAACACACAGTACTGAAGTAATATTAAAATCACTGTAGGAACCACAATTAAACCAAGTCCACAAGAATTCTTTGTTGAATATTCACCTGTTAATAAAAATAACATTAAAAATATTATCCTGTGTACTTCCTACTTTACAGGAAGTTAAAGTACTCAAAGTTACTAAGTGTATTAATCTCAATACTACTCTTACAAACTGCAAAAGGTTCAAAAATATATTTCTCCCGAAACTTCACACAAAACAACTATTTTTTAATTTTATTTTTTAATGTTTTATTTATTTTTGAGATAGAGAGAGACAGAGCATGAGCAGAGGAGGGGCAGAGAGAGAGAGAGACACAGAATCCAAAGCAGGCTCCAGGCTCTGAGCTGTCAGCACAGAGCCCAACGTGGGGCTTGAACTCACAAAACGTGAGATCATGACCTGAGCTGAAATCAGACGCTCAACCGACTAAGCCACCCAGGCACCCCACAAGTATTTTTTTATTAAGACCAAACTTAAAACATCTACTAAATGTAAACATCTAAGTCTCAACATGTGGAAACCTTGACTTGGCTTTGCCTCAACTACCCACAGAATTCCAGTGAGAAACTTGGGAGTCCCTCTTACTATTCCCTTTACTTGCTGTGTTCAATCTGTCCCAAAGTCAATACAGTTGTTCTTTCAAGTTATCTTCTCAACTTTTCTCGTCCTCCCGGTGTCCTAACTCCAGAGGCAAACAGAGCTGCCAAATTTATGTTCCTAAACAGTACACTGTACTGTATCTAGCTCCAAAGCAATGACAGATCTCTCCAGTCTGCACTGTGGGTCCCAGCTCGTATCTGCCATCTTTCCATGTGCTGCACTCCCTTTCTTCCCCCTTCCACTCCCATCTTCCAAAAACAAGTGGTTTCAGATAGAATTGTTTCCTACACCCATCCCCACTTCCAGGTCTTGGCAAATGAAGTCTGCCTCTCCAGTGGGGTGAATGATGGCCCTAAAGATACATCCACCTCCAAATCCCTGGAGCCTGTGAATATTAACTTCTATGGCAAAAGAATATTACATTATATAGCAAAAGATGATTCAGTTAAGGATCCTGAAAGGAGGAGTTTATCCTGGATTATCCAGGTGGGCCCTAAATGTAATGACAAGTGTCTCTGTAAGACAGGCAGAGAGAGATTTGACAAAGACACTACTGCGGCAGCAATGGAAATTATGGTGCCATAAGCCAAGGAGCTACAGAGTGCCAGCAAACATCAGAAGCTAGAAGAGGCAAAGAATGGTTTCTCCCCAAGAGCCTCAGGAAGGATTATGGTGTTGAGGACATCTTTAGTTCAGCTTTATGGCTCCAGAACTGTGAGAAAATTTCTACACTTTTAAGACACCCACTTTTTGGTAATGTGTTACAACAGCCCTATGAGCTCCCCCCACCCCACTGCCCCCGGGTCCTCATTTCCATCAATCCTGCCTCACTCATATAACTGTGTATCTTACCTGGGACAAAAAGAATGGCTCCAACAATGACAGCTATAGTGAGCACTAGTCCACCAACAAATAAAAGAATGGTTTTCTCCTTCATGAGACTGGATTTATATTTAAGTGCTTAAAAAAAAAAACACGAAGAATTACATGAACCCAATCACAAAAAGTAAAGCCATTTCTGTAACATATGAAATGCAGAGATAAACTGTAACTTACTGTAACTGAATAATCTTTGAGGAACAACTCCCTCCTATCATGTGAAGCTACCTCAAATCTTTTTCATAAGTCATTATCTAAATTATTGTCATGGCAGTATAAATATGGGTACTAAATTTAAAGGTGATGCTTTATTCCCCTATATTTAAAGAATGAAGGTATATACATCAGGCTTTCTAAATTAAGGCATTATTAACATTTTGGGCCAGATAACTCTGTTCCGTGTATTATACAATGCTTAGTATCCCTGGCTTCTACACACTCTATGCCATGAATGGCCCCCCAGTTGTGTCAATCAGAAATGTCTCCAGACATTGTTAAATGTCCCCTGAGGAACAAAACTGCCTCAGGTTTACAACTGATATACATACACTGATGAGAAATAACTGGCTACTTAGTAAAATATAAAATTAGGAAAGCATTTGGAATTCTAGATTGTTTTGAAAAAGTAGAACATTAGATACATCAGACCCTTTTGGTATCCTGAGGGTAAAACGTGTTTACATTGTTCAATTAAAAATAATTGTATAAAAATAAACTACAAATACTCAATAGCACTCATCATATGTGTTCCTGTTTTTGGTGCTAGCTCTATTGTCAAGTATCTAATACCGTCCTTGAAAGAATATAATGGATAAGCCTAAAAATATTAGAGTTGCCCCCTGAAACAACACAGGTGTTGGGGAGCACTGACCTCCCTCACCATCTGCAGTCCAAAATCCAAGTATAAAACTTTTGACTCCCCCAAAACTTCACCACTAATAGCCTATTGTTGACTAGAAGCCTCACTAATAACATAAACAGGCGATTAATACATATTTTGTATGTTAGGTGTATCATGTCCTGAATTATAAGAAAGTAAGCTACAGAAAAGGAAATATTAAGAAAATCATAAGGATGGGAATATATATATATATATATATATATATAAATATATATATATAGCATTGGACCATAAAAAATCCACATATAAGTGGACCCACAGAGTTCAAACCCATGTTGTTCAAGAGTTAACTGTATTTCTTTTGCTATACATTCACCTTTTGGGTTCTGTTTTGGCTAATATTAATTTTTCACCAAGAAAGTTGTTAAAGTAACCTAAAAGGAGGCTGAGTAGCAGAGTGTATGACAGAAATTCTGCTGTGTTTCATACACACAATATTTTCCATGCCATTAATCAATGGGTGACTGAACTGAGGTGAAGATTTTTTTAAATGTTATATTTAGCATTTAATCTGCTTCAACTAAAATGACAAACTATAAATATATATATTTATACATTATTAATTATAAATATCTTTATTTATAATTAAATATAATTTTAAAAACAACAAATAAACCCTTAAATGACCATAACAAAATCTATGTATAAGGTATTATAACCTAGGATTCCATTACAATCTATGGTTAAGATGTTAAGATACAATGCAGGCACCTGAAGATTTTTTAACTCCCTACCTATTTTAGGTTGTAATCATACTTTAGATTGTAACCTCAACTTTATTCTCTTCAGGGGGCTATGGAAGGCTAAGCAATAACCAGTCCTGAAGCTGAGTAATCAAATCCACGTTCATCAGAAAAGAGAATCAATATGGCAAGTTACCCAAGATTTCATTTGACTCATCCAGCCTTGAAACTTATGTGACTATGATTCAATCATGTTCCTGACTTATTACAGGGCACCAGTGTTCACATCTTCCCTATTTTCTAGGCTCAAACACTGTTTAGGATGAAATTCCACGTATAGGTCACAAAAGGCACAAATATGGTTTAAAAAAAGAAAACTTTCTCTAGACATATGTCAGATTTCTGATTTAATCCCATGCATACTGTTATCTAAATAGAGCCTGAACGTTCTGCAAAAGGGTTATAAAATAGAAGTTGTGTTTCAAACGTACCTCACAATCAATCAAACATTTATGAGACTCTGGTTTAATTCAACACATAAAAGAGTTACTAAGATCACGTAGCAAGAATTCACCTCGGAGTACAGTACAAATTCATGCAAAGAGGCAGACATATCATTCTTAACAAAAATAAGAGTGTGAACCTCATATAAAATTCCACCTTTTCAGACTCAGAAGAGCTTTAGGAGAAAAATAATGCCAACAATAGTCACAAAAATAAACCACCACTTTTCAAACCTTTGCATATAAATGCACTACATGTTCCAGATAGCTGTTGTTCCTGTTAATTAGTTCAACTACTACTTATTTTCAAGGATACTATCTTCTTCCTTAAATTAAGTAGCCATTTCTATCAAAAATATCAGTGGAGTCTACTTATGTAACCACAGGCAATGAAGGAGTTCATCTCTATATACCTTTAGTGAACCTATAAAAACAAATTCTTTTGACTCATTTTCTTGCTCACGATGGTGCCTATGCAGGTCCTATAGCAAGTATGGAGAAAGCACCTTGTTGCTAAGTCAGCTGTCAAAGTTTTCAGTGTAGCTAAAAAGTCAGGAATCTGATATAGATGTCAGAGAACCCAATAATCTCAAGGATCTTTTATTGGTGATTTTTTTCTGGCCCTTTATTAAGTATAATTACTCTTATTTATCAAACCTATAAAAACTTTAAATGTATCAAAGAAAATAAATTCAAGTAATTTCCCACTTAGCATTAAGATAAAAATGATACAATGTGCCTTTTTTTGTAATTCAAATCTAACAGACTTTATTTTCTTTTAATATTCTGACAATTTTGTTTCAAATTTTTATTTCAATTCGTTAGCCAATAGTGTAATATTGGTGTCAAAAGTAGAATTTAGTTATTCTTCACTTACAACACCTAATGCTCACCACAAGTACCCTCCTTAATGCCCCCTTGCCCATTTATAGCCCATCCCCCTGCCCACCTCCCTCCACCAATCCTCAGTTTGTTCTCTACAGTAAAGAGTCTCTTATGGCTTGTTTCCCTCTTTTTTCCCTTCCCACGTGCTGTTTTGTTTTTTAAATCCCACATACAAGTAAAATCATATGGTATTTGTCTTTCTCTGATGACTTTCACTTAGTGTAATACACTCTAGCTCCATCCACATTCTTGTAAATGGCAAGATTTCATTCCTTTTGATGGCTGAGTAATATTCCAGTGTGTGTGTGTGTGTGTGTGTGTGTGTGTGTGTGTGTGTGTGTATCCCACATCTTCTTTATCCATTCATTGGTCAATGGACATTTGGGCTCTTTCCATAGTTTGGCGATTGTTGATAGTGTTTCTATAAACACTGGGGTGCAAGTGTCCCTTTGAATCTGTATTTTTGTATCCTTTGGTTAAATACCTAATAGGGCAATTGCTGGGCTGTAGGGTAGTTCTATCTTTAACTTTCTGAGGAAACTCCATACTGTTTTCCAGAGTGGCTGCACCAGTTTGCATTCCCAACAGTGTAAGAGGGTTCCGCTTTCTCTGTATCCTTGCCAACATCTGTTGTTTCCTGTGCTAATTTTAGCCATTCTGACAAGTGTCAGGTGCTATTTCATTGTGGTTTTGATTTGTATATCCCTGGTGATGAGCAATATTGAGCATCTTTTCATGTGTCTGTTAGCCATCTGGATGTCTTCTTTGGAAAAATGTCTTTTGAGGTCTTCTGCCCATTTCTTAATTGGAAATTTGTTTTTTGGGTGTTCAGTTGGATAAGTTCTTTGTAAATTTTGGATACTAACCCTTTATCAGCTATGCTGTTTGCAAATGTCTTCTCCCATTCCACAGAGTGCCTTTGAGTTTTGTTGATTGTTTCCTTTGCTGTGCAGAAGCTTTTTATCTTTAAGTCTCAATAGTTCATGTTTGCTTTTGTTTCCCTTGCCTCCAAAGATGTGTCTAGTAAGAAGATGCTACGGCCAAGGTCAAAGATGTTGTTGCCTGTTTTCTCCTTTAGGATTTTGATGGTTTCCTGGCTCACACTTAGGCCTTTCATCCATTTTGAATTTATTTTTGTGTATGGTGTGAGGAAGTGGTCCAGTTTCATTCTTCTGACCTTAACTGCAGGCTCTTATCAAACTTCCTGGTTGTTTAGCATAGATTTTTAAAATCTATGTAATTTTAAAAATCAGCACGTGTTAAAAGATCCTCCTCAGCTAAAAGTACTGAAATCAATACAAAAAATAAAATAAGACAATAACACTCCTTATGTTTTAAGACTTTATTTTTTTAGTATAGTTTTAGGTTTACAACAAAATGAAAGGAAGGTACAGAGAATTCCCATATATACCCTACCCCTAAACACGAGTGACCTTCCCCATTATCAACATTACTCATCAAAATGGTATATTTTCTACAAAGGATAAACCTATGTTGACACATCCTAATCATCCAAAGTCCCTAGTTTACCGTAGGGGTTCACTCTTGTTGTATGTTCTTTAGTTTATAGAAATGTATAATGACACCTATCCATCATTATATAGTACAGAGTAACTTCACTGCCCTAAAAATCCTGTGCTCTGGCCTATGCATTTCTCCTCCACCCCAGCCCCTTCCCTGGCAATCACTCATCTTTTTATTATATCCACAATTGTGGCTCTTTCAGAGTGTCTTATAATTGGTATCATAAAGTATGCAGCCTTTTCAGATTGACTTCACTTAATAATATGTATTTAAGTATCCCCATGTCTTTTTATGGCAACTTGAGAGCTCATTTCTTTTCATTGTTGAATAATATCCATGTATGGATGTACCAGTTTATCCACTCACCTGTTGTAGAACAGTAAAGCTGCCATAAATATCTGTGTGCCAGTTTCTGTGTGGACGTAAGTTTCCAACTCCACTTGGATAAATATCAAGGAGCACAACTGCCAGATTATATGGGAAGAACATGTTCAGATTTTAAAGAAACTGCCAAACTGTCCTCCAAGGTGGCTGTACCATTTTGCATTCCCATTAGCAATGTATGAGAGTTCCTACTGCTCTACA